GGGCGAAATTTGATTAACTTTGTGGCTGTGCGAGCAGATCCTAGCGAAACACCAGTTTCCTGTGCTAAGCGTCTTAACGATTTTCGAGGACTGATCTGTAATCTTGCCTGAATATCCTTAACCTTTTCTTCAGTCAGCACAGTTCTCTTCGATTGCTTCTTCTTGTCACTCACTGAACCTGTGGCCCGCCACTTTTTCAGAAGCCTGTTTACACACGACTTTGTGGGAACTGGCGAGTCAGGATATTTCTGACGAAACCTATGTGCGAATTTTCTGTAAATGTTTTTCCTTGCAATAGTTTCGACAATAAACACACGCTGTTTAATAGTGAACTTCATTTCCACCGTCTGTCGACAGCTGTAAACATTCCACTCCACTTCCACAGCAAGACAAAGACTGACTGTTTAATGCAACCTCCGGTTCCGATTATGCAACCATTGGCGTAGGAGCACTGCAGTCGCGGGGAGGAGTTGCATCCGTTCTGCGGTGGTATGACTCACGGCAAATTGCAGCCGCGGCACGCACTTGATTGTACGCACTGTATATATGGATATAATAACATTCTTTGTTTAGTTGCTGATGCTAATGGAATAAGAAATTTATTTTCAATCCTTATGTTTATTTTTGTGGTGTTTTCATTGCTGTATTTTTTGCTGGTGTTATGTGCACATATTTTGGTACTAGTTTGTGTCTTAAACAAGTTTTGTTGAAATATATATGTGCATTACAGTGAAGCAACTTAATGCTTACAATTCATGTTCTTGTATATGTAGGTTATTAATGCTACTGTTATTTGGTGTGAGTACTATTCATGAATTATTTTACCAAGGGTTGAACTTGGATTTTAAAAATAACTTCTACACTTGCTTATCTTACGTGCCATAAAATATAGAATACAGTGTAGCAGTTTATACGAGTCATTTTATGTACTTGATGATGGCACCAGGTGGGTGATAAATGTCAAAAATATATGTGAGAACATGGAATAAATGGTGTTTTTAACCAACAAGCTATGAAGTGTTGCAATTACATGACTGTATTACACACACACACCAGGCCGCACCATAGCTCAAGCTATTCGTCACTGGCTTCCCACTGCGGTGGCCCAGGTTCGATCCCGGATCTGGTCAAGTGGAATCTGTGGTGGACAAAGTGGCACTGGGGCAGGTTTTCTCCGAGCACTTCGGTTTCCCCTGCCAATCTTCATTCCACCAATTGCTCACCCTCACCTATCATCTGGGGCTGGTACAATAGACCAGAAGTGGCTGCAGTACAAGGGACTTAGTCCTACCCCACTAGCATTAAAAAAAAATTACACACACACCAAGGGCTCAGCTAATGCAAAAGGATTCTCAAATATATTGTGTTAATTACAGTTGTACACAAGATTATTTAGAGCATCTAAGTAATTTTTAGGAATAGATACAATTTGTTCAGTTTTCTGGGCAGGGGATATTTTCAATGAAAGGGTGATCTAAGGGATTAGCAATGATGATTAAAGAAAATTTGTATATTGTGTTTTTCCAGTATTCTGAGCCTACCAAGTCATATGCAACGGGTGTAATCCTAAATGAGGATGGTGTTCTTCCTGACGTAAGTTTTATAAGTACACTTGCAGATTTTGGATACAGCGTGGCTACATTCCCAAAGATAACACATGCACTTGTTGTCACATTACCCTACAGTAATCACCTGTCTCTACAATTCAGTCTGACACGAGTGTACCGAAAACTGATACATTATATTGAGGTAAGAAATATCTCATTTTAATTTAATAAGTATGAAATCTAGAAGTTGCACTTGTATTTCTTGTTAATTGTTATTTTCTCTTAAAGCATCGGAAATTGTGTGCATATCCGGCCATCGAGATATATGATAAAAAACTGAAGATCATAACTTCCATGATTCCACTTGCCCGGCAAGATGATTTTTACGTTCCTGAAGCAGTACCAGAGTCAAAAATGGATACCAGCATTCGTACAACTGGCTCAGTGGATGACTACTGAAGATATGAAGACTGTTTATTGCATTTGATAACCTGGGTGGCAGAACGAATCTCTTTTTTTCTCACCCTGTCTCAGGTCTTTGTGATTACAAATCATTGGGTATATTATGGTGCTGATATTAATACTATGTTTAGCCATTCATGACAGGTCTAAATAGTATTCCGCACAGGTACATTTTGCACTCAGCTTCTAATAGTAATTAACTCCACTGTGTTTCCATAATCCAGGAACCAGCAGCGTATGGTCCATAAAGGGTCAAGCAGTCTGCAGTAAGAATTAACAACTTTCCCATCAAGCTGTAATTTGAATGTCATAGAATATTTACTGACTATATTAACTTTATTCACTTTGTGGTCTTATAACATTTAGAAGAATGTTAAACCTCTGCTTGCTTTGTGACATTATGACTGAGTTCAGTGTATGAAATTCATTTCTTTTTTTGACAGGGTTCTAAAATTGAAACAGGTTTTAAATAATGAGAAAATTTGTGTATAATTTTCTACATGTAGGCATAATTAATATGTAACACAATTATGAGGTCTAATTCCTTATTTGAAATGATTGTTTCCCATTGCTGTATATATTAGGCCAACCTCAGTAATGTACTGAAACGTAAAGCTATCTCTATATCAGGCCATGGAGGCCCGTAGTTTTGTGAGACGAAGAGGCTTCTACATTTTCTAAAGAGTCAGCTCACAGATGACGGTGAGGTTGTTAGTCTTACGCACCGGCTGCTCTTTACTACCCAGGAAGATTCATAGAACTCATTTCTCTTAGCGTCTGATTTGACTCCAGGGCCATAGTGCGGCTGGAAGGATTAAGTAAATTGAAAAACTGCGATGATCTCCTCAGTTTAGTTAACACTTTGCGGACCGCGCACCCTTTAAAAGGTTTTTCACTTTTAAACATGGTGGACCGTTCGTGTGTTAACAGGCTTTTAGAACACGATAAGTTGCAACACACTATACATCGCTCTGGCACCACCTACATTGCACGCAACTGCCTGCAGATGTGTGATAAGACTCTGGAATGTTTAGTTAGCAGTCAGTAACTTGACCTCGCTGTTTACTTAACTGACTATAAAGGAAAATGCTTTGCCTTCTTCAAGCTGTGTGTATCAGCCAGTAGCTAGTGGGGAGAATGGATCAAGGACAAATTCTCTTCCGATGACCTAGCTGACCTGCCTTGTGAGACACGTAGTAATGGATTAATTGTCATTCAGACAGCCACAGTGATGGGGGACAACAAAGAATTGTGGCCACAGACAGTAAAAGTGACAGTAGCTCCGACGATAATGCAGGTAATAACATTGCACATGGTAACATTGTGGGGACAGCAAAAAATCTAAACCCTGATTCAAAATTGAAATACAATCATTTCTGATGAATGTGGCAAAGGCCTGGGCTACAGTCCAGATGGTGGCGGCAGAACCAGGGTCACACAAAGACTTAGTATGACCGGGCGCATCAACTCCCACCCCACAAAGCCTCATGATAACCCCCCAGGGCGACTCTTGAGTGATATGCGGAAAAATACCCTCGTGAAAATTGTGAAGAGTGAACATTCCAAGGGGAAGAATACTTCTAGGCAATGCCGTGTTTGCACAGTTCACAAAAAAAAAAGGAGTATGTCTACATTTGCAAGTTCTGTGTAATGCCACTTCACAAAGGGGAAAGTTTCCAGAAATATCACACCCTCAAGCACTTCTAGGAGCATTGGTAAGTGTTCTCCCAAAATTTCAGTTCAAAAAATTAATTACAAGATTTTATATTAATTTTTAAAGTGAACAGTGCACAAGTTAGGGTAGTATGTTTAAAAATGCCGGTCCCCAGGGTGATTTAAATATTTAAATCACCGGTCCGCGAAGTGTTAAGAAGTAAATTTCTTAACCTTAAGAAATCACATCCATGTTTTCTGTTACTAATCCATAACTTCATCATGAAGAAGGTGCTCCATTTTCTTTATTTGTGTATGGAATTGTGCGTTAAGTTTCAAAATTTAGTTCTGTGGAGATAACTGCACTTCCTGTTAATGTGAGGAGAGTGGGGTGTGTGGGAGTGAACTGTGTGCTGTTTGTGGAGCTACTTGCAAGAGGCTGAGATGCATTAGTGTGCAGTAGTTGTCCATGGAGTGGATGTGTGTTGCCAGCGCTCATCAGGATGTCTCAATTTGAACAGCTGGCAAGCATGAAGTTCTTTTGTAAAGTAGGAAAACCAGCTGCAGAAACTCAAGTAGGCCTTCTTGTGGTTCATGTAGGGAAAGCTCTTAAAGGATCCACTGTGTACGACTACCATAATTGATATCGTTTTTACTAAAAATTATACATAAATTCCCTAAACTTTTGATCCTTTTATTTCTTACTGTAATACGTTCAGTACGCCAGTGCTTTCTCTCTCAGTACATTCTTAACTGGCAAGACAACAGGTCACCGTTTTGCCACACCCTCCGTACTCACCTGATCTCGCACCATGTGATTTCTTTCTCTTTCACTGCTTGAAAGCAACGCTACATGGTCGTAGATTTCAGTCGTCCGAGGAGATCGTCATTGCCACAAGAGACGCCATACAGGAATTTCCTGACAATATGTTTCAGCAATGTTTTCGGCATCTATATCAACGTTGGCAGACTTGCATAGCAGCCAACGGCAACCATTTTGAGGGCCGATGTGGATCTGCATAAGTGTATGCAAAAACCTTGTAATATGATGTGACAAAACCACAGTCCACGAACTTAATGACTCTACCACATAGAATTGTTTTATAGGTAGGCTGTTATGTTGCATTCCATTTCTAAATTCGCATAGCAGTGGAAAAAGAATGTTACTATTATAATCACTGGATGCTGGTACCTCGGATTACATTTTAAATGCCATGATCTTCAGAATGGAATTTAAACAAAACTGAAGGCATGATGATATTTCAGTAAGTACACTACAGAGTAAATTAGTGACTTCACCTCAGTTCAAAACTGAAATGAATAACTCAGTAACCTGTGTAACATTGATTTTCAGGGTTTATCTGATCCTGCATTGCAATACAATGCAGTCACCATCTTCCAGATGTAAAGCCAGACTTTACTCAGTTTGCATCTGTTAATTGTTGTCTGATATATGGGCATGTCCTTTGCTTCAGCATACATTGCAGCTAAACCCTGAGAGCCAAAACTAAACATCGGACACAAACCATGAAAACCAAAAGGCAAGAATTCCACAAAATTTCAGTAGAATATTGTGGGTACAACTTCTAGGTGAATTCTATATGTGGAGAAGGCTACGTGGAAAGAATATTGAATCTTATTGTTAACTGTGATGTATATAAATCTTTGTAGCATTCATAACAGAGAAAACTAAGTATATGTTACTGTCGCATCACCAAAATGCAGGGCAAAATCATGACATAAAGATAGGAAACATGTTTTGAAAATGTGGCGCAGTTCAGATATTTGGGAACGACAATAACAGATCGAAACCTGATTCAGGAGGAAATTAAGAGGCGATTGAACTCGGGTAATGCTTGCTACCATTCAGTCAAGAACCTTTTGTCTCCTCATCTGTTGTCCAAAAACATAAAAATTAGAATATACAAAANGGAGGATGAGGTGGGCAGGTCATGTAGCACGAATGGGGGGGACGAGGAATGCATATAGGATATTGGTGGGAAAGCCAGAAGGAAAGAGGCCACAGGGAAGACCAAGACGTAGGTGGGTGGACAATATTAGAATGGATCTTAGAGAGATAGGATGGGATGGGATGGATTGGATAGATCTGGCTCAGGATAGGGACCAGTGGAGGGCTCTTGTGAACACGGTGATGAACCTTCGGGTTCCATAAAATGCTGGGAAATTCTTGAGTAGCTGCAGAATTGGTGGCTCCTCAAGAAGGGCTCAGCTCCATGAGTAAGTAAGCAAGCATTCATAAAAAGGTTGTCCTTCATTTTAGTTGTTGCATCCCTGATTCACGTCTGTCACATTCAGAATGTCATAATATGTGAATTATTGCTTAATTGAAGGAATAGTTCCTATCTGTTTCATTATCTGATAAGCTTTGAGTTTATTCATCAATATCCCTTTGGTAAGAAAGAAATGTATGCATCCAGATAAAACATTAATATGAAAGAGTCATGAATTTTAATTATTGATCAATGAAACATCTTGTCTATACTGTTAACTGATGGATGAGATGTTCTTAAAGCAAAGAACTGAACTGTCTGTGATTTTATGTTTAATTTTTGAGAATATCACTAATTAACCCTTTAGCTGACAGCAAATCTGCATAAAATTACAATACCTAGCATTCAGGCCATTTCATAGTCTACTGTGATACTTGTTTGTATGTTTAGTTTTTTTTATATATGTTTTCCATAGATTTGTAAATTAACTGCCAATAAAGTTTCTGTGAAATAATTTTTATTACATTGCTAGCTCTCAAGATCCAGTATCTGTATTGAAGCGTGGTTATTGTAGACTGTAGAGACCTTTCTGTGCTGACACCTGTCACAAATTTATTTTGCTGTCCCACCAAATGTAATGAATGGTCTAACACGAACACTGAATTTGAAAGACGGTAGAGGAAACAGTTGTGCCCTGCTTAAAGATGGTATATTAACCCAGAGGGACAGAGAAACTGCTGAATAGCTTTTATTTGTGATAGTATGCACCACAGTTTGATTCACATACCTATCAAATGTCAGCTATGTGCACACAACAGTAGAGCAAGCTGTTTTTTCCATGTGTCTGGCAGCTGACGCAAGAGCAGTGACATCACACATCAACAGTAGGTGGTTGTCACGTGGCATGTATTTTCTTCATGTCTGTCAGCTTGTGCATGTGTGGTGACATTACACAGCAACAGTGGGTAAGGGTCATGTGATATGTGTTGACTGTTGGTCGATATCCGCCCCTTGGCTCTATAAGTTAACAGAATTCCTGAGCTGGCAGATAGAGATAGTAGCGGTAGAAACATGGAAGCAGAGAGAATTTTAACTAGAAGTGACAGCGAGTGACAAAGTGATAGAGTTACGAAGAAAGATATGAGGAACAGCTATAAGAACAGTTACGATGTACGAGGGGGTACCCACAAGAAACCGAACTTATTTTTTTTTTCAATTTATTTATTCAAATTTTAAGCACAAACCTTCAATCCCCTTCAAAGTACTCTCCACTTACACTAATACACTTGTCTAGTCTTTTATTCCATTTTTCAAAACATTGTCTAAATTCATCTTTTGAGATGCTTGAAAGCGCCTCCGTCACTTTTTTCCTTTACCTCAGCAACATCAGCAAAACGCTGAAAAAAAATTTTTATCATTTCGGGACTCTTTTTTCAAAGCACAGCATGCTTCCACGCGACCTTGTTTTTGTTCAGCAGTCAGCAGTCATGGCACGAATTTCGCAGCCACCCTTTTCATTCCCAAATCTTGTGTCAAAATTCGCTGAACTGAGCTCCAAGTCACTCCCGACAGCTCCACAATTTCTTCAATGGTCCGTCNTGTACGCCGTTTTTAACATTTCAAGAGTTTCTGTTCCACTTTTCCCGAGCAAAAAGCAGAATTTCACCGCCGCACGCTGTTCACGAAAATCAGCCATTGCAAAAACGACGATCACACAAAACAGTTGTCACTATAAACTCTGCCGAAACTAGTCCTTACCTTCTGAAGCAACGGTAGTCGGCTTATCGACTCAGGAATGTTAGCTCTATGTGCTCATAGCGGCAAAACGCGGTACTACAAAAGCTCTGCCCACAAAAAAATTAGTTCAGTTTGTTTTGGGTACCCCATCGTATAGTTACTAATAGGCCAGAAGTGGCTGCAGTACAAGGGACTTAGTCCCACCCCACTAGCAATAAAAAAATAGATTTATGAGACAGAAACAGTAGCAGCAGAATCATGCAAACAGAGTCAAGTGCATCCAGGAGGTCACCCTATGAGGATTTGAAGTGTGATTTGAAGGCTTTGTTTATGTGTGTGATTTAGTGAGACTGTTATAGTTCCTGTGTTTAAATTGTGGTACCAAGAGAGGACCAGTGTGTGTGTGTGTAAATCAGTGATAGCACTGTATTTAAGTGTGTAACCAAACTGCTAATATATCCAATCATCCAAACTAGGACCCCGTCATTTTCATCGCATGTACCACCCTACACATGACAATAATATTTACCAGCAGAAAATCATGGACACATCATTGCATAACATTCAATCAATCTTATGGTAGACCATACACCAATTTGTCACAGAACTTAAGGGCAAGCAATGTTCAGTGGTTATAAGGGGCAGATGATTAAATTCTGTGTAATATAATGTTGGTGGCTGGCTTTTAACTGGGGGTAGGGGGTATTATTATAAATATTTTACGTTATTGAGACTTAACCTGTTAAAATGTTGTAAGAGTTAGCTAGATACTACATTACTGCCACTGAGGTCATTATAAAAGACATTATTTCCAAAAGAGTTTATGGATTCATGAAATAAAATATTCTGTATATAAGTCCAAATGCACAGCACTTAACATTTCTATAAACGTTTTTCTTCACACTTTGTGACAATGCTCAATTAGAAGTTTTGATTTATGGTAAATACAAAAACATGGGTTTGTAGACAGGCTGATTTTGCACTTTGAGCACATACATTTGAGAGTCATGCCCAAAGTCCTCATTATGTGTGGAGAATGTGGATTTAATATTAGAAGAGAATCGGATTTGTGAATTGCTATAATAATTTGGAGTATATTTTTGTAAATGTGAACACATTTACCTTGAATAGTGAAAGATGATAAGTTAGTTCATCACAGTGATACAAAAACTAAACAATTTCTTGCAAGGAAAGAATGAGACACCACAAAAATATGTTGGCAAGATTATGGTTTTGTGTTGTAGATCTGATGTTGGAATTCATTTCATGAATGTCTAAGGTCATTATTGAATTCTGCAAAGAACTCATGGTCAGTGATAACACTTCATGTTGTTTGCCTCTCTTTTTAAGGTCAAAGTTTTCTATTTATGCACAAATAATCATGTGATATGAATGTCTAAATAATTGTATTGCATTTTTAAATTTAATAGTTGTGGTGTGTAACTGTTGACTAAATTTCACTCTCATTAATTAAAGATTCTTAAAAAATTTCATTAATATTCAGGTGGTCCACCAAAGAAAATTCTTGCAGTAAGTGCTCTGCGGCCCAAGAGTATTGGAACCACTGCTATGTAGGATTAAGAAAGGTCTGCTTGATGCCACCACCAAAAAGCTGACATGATAATGGAACTGAGGGTCAGGCAGATGCATGAAACTTCTATTTTTATAAGCTCAACCAGCCACAACAAAGTCCAAATCTTGACCATGTCTCATGTTCTTGAGTAAATTAACATGCAAAACATGTTTTCCAGCAATGAAGAAATTGCAAATAATACAGGGTAGGTTAACTTATGAGAAATGTCTTAGCATGCACACATCCAGTGCTTGTTACCACTCTGACTGCAGATGCTAGTAAGGAGTGCTGAATGAATGTATAAGGGGTGGGCCTTCTCGGCCCTGTAAGTAAAAGCAGAGAGAAGTAATATATATTCACATTTTGTTATCAGAGAGAAGGTTGAAATCATGTTAAGAAATATGATAGTAAATCCTTAAAAACCATTGCAAATTTAAACTATTCTGAATAACAGTAACATCAGAATTAGTCATGTAGAAATGAGCAACTTCAGAGAATTCTTCCTACTATTTAGTTCAGAATATTGTCTTCCTGTCTCCTACATAAAAATGTAGACACGAAAATATAAGACTACAGTTGTAAGTTTTCTTTTGTACAGATATGAAATTTGGTCTCTGCCAATTATGGAAACACAAGTGTTACTCGATATATCCTTAATATGTTGTGGTAGATTATTATAGACCTTTGTTCCTAAACAGTAAACTCCCTTTTGGTATTTACTCAAATTTACAACAGGCTGATGGAGATTATTTTGCTGTCTGGTATTTATTCTATGAATCTCAGAATTTACTACCACATTATCACTTTTCCTGGATAGTCTCTTTCCAAAAACAGAAGATCACATTAAGTGGAGAAACTGTTTTGGAAGAGACTGTGGACCTGTCGCCTGACAGATTACTGATGATGATGATGATGATGATTCCGATATATTAAACACTTTATATAAATCAAACTCTTGGGTACTCGGGTTAACTGTGCAAATCATTAATAACTTTTCTATATCAAAAGTAAACTTAGTTGGAAAGGGCAACATCAAAGCGATTTCGTTCGTACAAAATTTCATGGGTGGGAACGGCGCATACACAATACAAACAATTCAGTATTATGGAACAGCTACTTTGTTTTAAATTATAAGCAACACATGACCTTCCTACATATACGCTCACATAACTGCATGTTTGTAAGGTTTGTTTGCATGTAAGTCCAATATATTCGCACAATTGGTCACAGTGAACCGGAAAAGCCGAATAGTTGACTTATCAGTACGCATGCGCCGACGGAAGTGTGGAAGCCATCGCCCTAGTTAACGGTAAGTGAAGAGAGATAACTTAAAATAGAGGAATTTGTGAGAAGTAAAGCCTTCTTCAGAAATTGAAAATAAGAAAAACTTAGTTACTGTAATAAGGGCGAGAATGTCGTACCGGTGTTAAAACGAAAGAGTATTTAATGTCAAGACATGGCGATGTAATTAGTGTTAAAAGCAAGCCGAGTGTTTCAAGCAAACAAGTTCGGGTGAAGCCTTTGCCAACGGAGTAGGATATAAGACCTTTCAAGGTACTGTACAGAGTTACATATTTGTTAAGCTAATACTGTTTTACTAAATATATATATCTTTGCTCAAGTGGACTAATTAAAACATAAGTTAGAGAGCTGGTGTTTGACTCTTAGAATCTGTTATTAAGTGTGCAAAGTATCCATGTTCCGTATTTGCATGACAATTTTAATCATCATTAATTATGGTTTTCAATGTTTAACCCACTTTGAGGTGTTGCTTGATTTATGGTACAACTGATTTGCTTCGATGATAGGTTAGATGTCATTATCATGGCATCGCGATCAGAGATCCAATGAAACAACTGTCATCCATGAAGTCCACTTCCACAAGTTAATGATTTGTGATAATCACAGGACACTATGTGAAACATACAGCAGACAGATCCACATGTGAAGAAAGTGGTTTCTGTTCAAAAGTTATACTTGGTGGTGTGACATGAGTACTAGCGAAGTACATGTATTTATTTTTATGATAGGAATTGCCCCCAGCCGTTGCACGTAACTAAAATTACGATTGAATTGCAACAATATTTTTTAATAATAAATTAGATCCTTAACATGTTTCAGCCAATGATTGGCATCATTGGAAGGTGACAGCATTTCAAAGGAAATGCTTTACCTGTATTACATACTGTAAGGGTTAAAGCACTAGTATTAAAAAATATTTTGTTAAAAATAATACAGTTTTTTGAATTATTAGAATCTTGCTGTGAATCCCACTGATGGTCATGTTTTTTGCACATACATATGTAAAATATATATCTGTACATGTAAAAACAAATATAGAACTAATCAGTTCAGGAACACAGCCGTCAGTGGGACTAGTAGCAAGATTCTAATCAATAAATTTTTTTTTTTTGTTTTTTATACTCTTAATGAAATTCCACATAACCTGAACACTTCTGTTTTGACCAAATTTCTGTATAATGGAGGTACTTAGAGATAAAACAGTATTGTACAGTACATACCTCTTGTATTTTTAATTAACTTAAAAAGTTAAATTCATGTTACATGTGGCATATTTGCTCAAAGCAAGAACTGTAGAGGCAGAGACACAGCCTTTGCTAGGTAATGCCCGCAAACAATAGAAGAAGTGTCACGATATGTGATGCATACAGCTGTTGCTATGGAGTTAATGGGTAAGCACGTACGGTGACTTCACACAACCATAGAAGAGGTGTTGCAAGTGAATTTCTCTGTGAGCCTGCACCAAGGCTATACGATTCGACCAACTGGGTTCAGTTCAGAGAGTGAGTGCAGTGCTGTAGTGGTGTGTTAACCAGCGGACAATGGAAGCGGAAGAATCTCCATTGCTAAGATTTGTTACCAAGAAACGGCTAGTGAAAACACTGCAAAGTAATAGCCATTGCGGAGAGCTGTTACCAAGTAAAAACTAGTGAAAGACTGAGGAGCATTAGTATGGAGTGATCTGTAGGGTGGAAATCAGCAATGGTGGTATAGTTATTTGTAGTTATGACCTGTATGTGGTCAATAAATCCAATCATTCAATCCTAAAGCTGTCTATAAGTCATGAACACCCCAAATATATGACAATATCTACATTATGATGTTACTGAGTGGTCTGTACTTTTCATTCTTTTGTGTTATTTCTGTTTATTTTGTGACACTGTTTCTGTATCAAGACATTTGTGTCAAATTGAATGATAGTTGGTGTTTAATGGATTGAAAATTATTTTGAATGAATGAATGTATAAGGGGTGGGCCTTCTCGGCCCTTGCACCACAACCTACAGTGATCTCTTGTGCTTCCCCTTTTGGTTATCCCCTCAGCAATTCTGCACTTCAAATGAAGCGTAGGATTTTGTACATGGGGGCGTCGAAATAGTCACTTGGTTCCATAAAGTAATGACTCAAGTGACGTAATCTTAAATAAGCTAAGGCTTCACATTCACACAGGATATGTGAGAACAAATTATTTTGAAGGAAGTGGTCATGTTACTGTCCTCTTAATGAGGTGTTGGGATTGATAGAAGCCACAAATAACCTCTGGATAGATGGAGTTTCAGCTGAGATTTGAACTGAGGTCCTCCCAGTGCTGCACCAGCCTGATCAGTGTGTTGTTGTTTGTGATTGTGAGATGAATGTTGCTTTCCAGATGCATTTTAGGAAGTGCAGCAATAAAGTTATGTCAACACAAAACAAATATTTTAGCAGATTTTTCTGTTAAAATATTTTTTTATCCATATTAAACAATTTCAGTGTACTGGAGCAAAGTCACTGTTCTATGGGACAGAGCCTTATTCAAATGAAGAGATGTTTGTTTTTAACCAGGTTATGTTTTAGGCACATACTGTAATACTTTTATTTTTTTCATTCAGTAATAGTGGGATAATTCAGTAAAGTGGTCACCAGCCATTAAGTTACGTGGTGGATGTGCCTACTGAACAAATTCCACCTACCATTAACAGAGCTACAGTACTCTTTAAAAATATATGAAATTTTGAAGCATATATTCAGCATGGTTATGATATATGTTATATTGTGACAACCAAATTTTTAACATAGTTGATTATCAGTTCAGTATACCAGCTGTGCAGATTAATTTTATTTAGACAGCCCGGAGGTCATAATCATCCAAATGATGAATTTATTTGGAACCTGTGTTGTTCTTGGATATATCCCATTATCATTGAGAGCAGTCAAGGTTATCTTTATGCCTAAACTTGAGTATAGTTTGTAAGATTTGAGGCTTTCATGGCGGTGACTATGAAGAAAGCAGTCTTCTGGGATTTGCCACTGTGTATATGTGGTGTTAACCGACGTTTCGGAGGAACATCGGTTAACACCGCATATATACGGTGCCAAATCCCAGAAGACTGCTTTCTTCTGAGTATAGTTTGTTCAGGTGAAATCCTTTCATACCATCATCCTTGTCTTTTCTTTTGAAAATACTGGAGAGGCTGATGGACTTATGTATAAAAGGTGCTATCAGAAATTTCCCGGACTAGGTAGAAAAGAAATGCTGGCTTAACTTACTCAATTTTAGCTGCCATCTCCTTCAAAGTAGTCTTGGGAATGTATACACCAATCCCACCATTTTTTCCACATTTCAAAAGTCATTGCGTTTGGATGTCAGACATTGTTTCAAAACGTCCTTTCAGTTTGGGAAACAGAACAGAATCACAGGGTACGAAGTCTAGAAAGTAGGGAGGATGGGGAACGATAACCATGTTGTTAGTCAGAGGCTCCGTGGTTTTCAGGGATGTGTGGGTGGGTGTGTTGTGCTGAAAGAGCCAGTTATGCTTGTGCCAAAGATCTTGTTTTNGTTTTTTTTTTTTTTTTGGTTTTTTTTTCTTCACATTTTCTCTCAGGCATCTCAAAATGTCAGTAAAATTCAGAGTTTGCCCTAGTGTTAGGAGGAACAAATTCGCAGTGGATGGTCCCCTTCATGTCAAAAAAAAGCAATGAACATGCTCTTTGTTTAACTTTGTGGAACCTTCATGAGATATGCATCAGTATACGTACCAGACGGGCAAGTCCGTGGTGACCACTCTCCACAGTTTTGTTTATAAGATAGAGCACTCAGGGCTGGGCTTGAGTTGGGAGCTTTTCAGGACATTGAGGGTGCTGCATTTGGTAATACCACCTTTAAGTCCATATGTAGGGCAGCTAAGGAGCAACAACTACCCATCACCACAGGAAACATGGACGCATAGGCAAGGGCATATCCCAAAAATTGAATTTACGGACAGAAGCACAGCAGTTTTAGAATCACCTGAAGATGACCTGTGCTGGTTATAGCATGTAGTGTGCATACGGCAGTGGTGCAGAAGAGATTTTAGCGTTTAAAACTTTCAAAGATTTAAAAAAAAAACATTTTGCATGAGAGACAGATAACAACTAACAAGGATAAATAAGGGATGGAGCATAATGTAATGAGATGGGTCCATGCCGTACCCAGTAGTTGACAGATTGTGATGGCCCAAATGAGCTGTATGATGAGGGTGTCTGCAGGGAGGAGTCCTGTCCTCCCTGTTGTGGAGCCTCGATGGAACCCTTGTAATCCTTAGCAAAGAAAGTCTATATGCGCAAGGCTGTTCAAATGACTTCAGTCTTGTTGATAACTGGAAAATTTCCAAGTACTGTTTCAGAGCTCATAGATTGTCCCTGAGTGTACTATGAAGATGGTTCAGGGCAAAGGAACTGTCTGTTGTTCCTGGTGATAAGATGAAACCTATGCTCTTCACTGGGAAAAGAAGGTAGAACAGTTCATGAAACCCACTGTGCTGAACACAATGCTGCAAACCACTGGGTCATTGAAGTATCTAGGGTTTATCCTGGATGCTAAGATGACTTGGAGGGAGCATGTGAAACGGTCAGTAAAGCTTGACTGGGTGATAGGACCCTTGGTGAGACCTGGGGTCACGAACCTAAAACTGTACATTGGCAGGCTTAGCGTTATTGATATGTGACTGGATATACGACATGCTCGGATCTTTGCCTGGCTAATGGAATCAGATCATGTCTCTCTGGCCTGGTACAGGGATAGCTTTACCCCTTTTTTTTGTTACATATTTCGCATCTCTTTTGTACATTTCTTTTTCTGCAGTTTCGTCCTCATGCCTTCGTTGGGAGTTAGTACGTAATAATGACGCTGAAAAGTCTGGCTATGATGGCTATGAAAGATGTCAGAGTAACGGTCATAATTTTTATTCAAGGTAACATGGGTGCTTGAGAGAGGGGGCAGATAAAACCTAACTTCAGTTAAGGTTGGAATAGGTCCCGTATCCGTCAGCTACTTCTCTGTCAAGGCACATTGGTGTGAACGTACAAGTTTTACGAATGCCTCGTGGGTGGCTGGTCTTGGCATACAATATGCGGACCACTTCCGGATTAAAAGACTCCAAGAAGTACAAGTCGGCTGTTGTATGTAGTATAGTATCACATTATAAATTGTTGCATAGACCGCCGCATTATGCAGTGCGGTCGTCTTGAAGCTTCCCTCAAATTGTTCAGCCACCCAAACGGGACAAGCGGACG